TAGAATAGAATAGAATAGAATAGAATAGAATAGAATAGAATAGAATACTTTATTGGCCAAATCTGATTGGACACACAAGGAATTTGTCTTGGTGTAAATACTCTCAGTATACATAAAGAGAAGGTACATTTGTTAAGAATCAAGAATGATAACATACAACACTTAATGATAGTCATGGGGTAAAATCAACAATCAAATCATACTAGGAAACAGTCAAATGGGAAGGGATGGGTGATAAAGAGTGGTGAGAAGATTAACAGTAATAATAGTGTACACTTTGTAAATAGTTGAACAGTGTTGAGGGAATTATTTGTTTAGCAGAGTGATGCTTTTGGGAAAAAACTGTTCTTGTGTCTAGTTGTTCTGGGGTGTAGGGCTCTATAGCATCGTTTTGAGGGAAGGAGTTGAAACAGTTTATGTCCGGGATGTGAGGAGTCTGTAAATATTTTCACAGCCCTCTTGACTTGCGCAGTATACAGGTTCTCAATTGAAGGCAGGTGGGTAGTAATTGTTTTTTTCTGCAGTCCTAATTATCCTCTGAAGTCTGTGTCTGTCCTTTTGGGTTGCAGAACCAAACCAGACAGTTATAGAGGTTCAGATGATAGACTCAATAATTTTGTGCACTATGCTTCAGTCCAACTGTAGGCAGCATAGTTCAAGGTTGTCCAAGCCCAAAATTTCAAGCCTGGTGATATAGGGTATTCTGTTGCGAACAGAGGAGTGTAGTACTTTTCTTGTGAAATACTTCTGGACTCCCTCAATTATATTAATTAATGTCCGATAAACAGTGCGGATTCCACTGATGAGTTCTATTCAAATATTGGTCTAGCAAAAGTTTTGTATGCTCTAGTTAGCAATTCAATATGTCCAGAGGAGAAGCTTTATAAGATTAGATTTACAACTCTTAATGTCTTTTTGGCAATGTTGTTACAGTGAGCTCTGGCACTTAGGTCATTTGATATGAGTACTCCAAGGTCCTTGACAGAGTGAGGATTGTCAGTGAGGTCACATCTGCCTAGCTTGTATTTGATGTACTGATTTTTTTTTTACCAATGTGTAGGACAGAGCATTTGTTGGTCGAGATTTGGAGTTGCCAATTGTTTGATCATTCAGACACATAATAAAGGTCACTTTGAAGGATAGTAGCATTGTCAGTAGTGTTGAAGAGTTTTACGTCATCTGCTAAGAGGACACAGTTGCTTATCAGTGATCGCAAAGGTCATTTATATAGAGTATAAAGAGTGTGGGTCCTAGGTTGATCAAACAAAAAAGGAAGTTGATTCACAGATGATTCTCTCCTTTTGAGAAGTAGAATGTAGAGAACGTTTTTGGCTTGCCCAACAGAAACCAATGAAACAGGATCTGGAAGAAGAGATGCAATTCTCTCTGGGATCTGAATGGCATAAAGAAAAATGTTCTCTTCCAGAAAATTCCAGAGGGAAAGTTTCATAACAATTTTTATGTTGATTTCAGGAATTAGGAAAGATACCAAATGTGCAAGAAAAGAGTGGGAAGGAACAGATAATTAGTCTATAATTAATTAGTCACAGGATTGGAAAAGAGCAAAGGAACTATGATAAATAGAATCATGGGACAGTTTTTGTTCTTTGTTTTTTTTGAAATATATTATGTGCATCCAAAATTAAACAAATTCACATTATTTTACCTACTTTTAGTTATTGTATTTTCAAACATTTGTGATTCAAAAAGTAAGATTTCATTGCTCTGATAAAGAAACACATCCATATCTGTGAACCATTTTTTGAACGTTCTAATGATCACAATTTTAAGTATTTATTTAATTCATGTGCCACCTATGTCATTTAGCATACATGTATGTTTGTACTGTGTATTTCTTGATGTTCAAAGATGAAACTTTGCATCATATATTGTGATTTTGTAAATGAGATACAACCATTTGATTTGATTGATTTGATTATGACGATGGATGGATGGATGGATGGATGGATGGATGGATAACTGAGAAACATCTATTTTTAAAACATCTAATATACCTCTTCCAGAATGGTCTGCATTTTTAAGTAAAATATGTTAGCAGCTTTAGGGTGAAAACAGAAGAGACACAAACTATTTTATTAACAAGATTTAGGTAATTTTAAATACTTTAATTATGCCAAATAAGTCAATAATTTAAATAACATATAGTTCTTTATTATTCTGAAATGAGATTAATTAATTCAATAAATTAATTACTGTACTTTATGTTTATTGGACACCTTGCAAAATATTTAGAGAAAGACAAGATGCAGCTAGAAAACCAAGGAGTTTATGAAATACCATGCAACAATTGCCCAGCCACATATACAAACCAACAGGAGAATAAATGCACACATCGCAGAACACAAAAACGCAGTCAGAAGAGAAGAAAATACTTCCTCCCACTTCCAGCACCTTAAAGCCACAGGACATGAAATTAATTTTGAGGGAACCAAATTAATATCCAACACTGAACACTCCAGCAAGAGAATAATCAGGGAAGCCATCGAGATAGAGAAACACCCCCATAACATGAATAGACGGGATGATATCTCCCACCTACCAGACATCTGGAAGCTAGACCTCACCAACAAATGAGTCCCAGCCACAAAAACCAACACCAGACCCAAAACAACATGGGACACTGTTAAGTTCGGGAAATGAGAGGCTGAACCAGGGCATGGATGCAACAAATACTTTATTAGAATAATAAAGGACTGACTGTGCTTGCCAAGCCTGGAACTGGCTCGCAGCGATCAGCAACTGGTTGGACCCCGCAGCCTGCTTTTATAGCTGGCTGCTGGGGAGAACCAACCAATGGGAGAGAGGGCAACCGCCCCCGTATCACGAACGGACCTGGGTGGGAACTTCTTTAAGTTCCAGGGACATAACACCCCTTCCCCCCAGATGCGAACACGCATAGTCTTTAAGGTACGCGGGAGGCTTGTGCTGGCGCTCAGAACGGCGCAACTCTGGGGAATTGTCTGGTAGATCAGAGTCTGTAACTGAAGGTTGGACCGGTGTGGTGTCACGAGCGCGTTCCTCGGTCAGTGTCGGATCGGGGCTTGTAGGGCTGATCGTTGAGGAAGTGTTTCCGTTGGCTGGTTCGGACTGGTCAGCCATCAGGTGGTCACGGGTCATATTCGGGGTCCCCGACTCGGCTGCAGGTGTGAGCTGGTCCCTGGAATTGGTGCTGATGTGGGGTTGATGCTGTAGCCCTGCACCGGTCTGCAACCATGAGTCACTGCTAACTTGCGTGTCTTGGCGCTTCCGCAGCTGATCCAGGTGCCTTCTCCAGATCCGGCCATCCTCCAGTCTGACTCTATACGACCTGGGTCCGGTGATGGCCACGACCTCGCCCGGGATCCACAGAGGGTCTCCAGCGAAGTTCCTCGCGAACACGGGTTCCTGTAAGACAAAATGCCTAACCCCCGATGTGGAAGCGAGGGGAGCGTCAGGGCAGTAATGTGGGTGCAGCCTGTCCAATACAGTCCGCAGGCGTCTACCCATCAGGAGTTCAGCCGGGGACTTATTAGTGACTGTGCACGGGGTTGAGTGCTGGCTCAGCAAGAAAAGGGAGAGTTTGTGGTGCCAGTCATCCTTGCTGAACCTAGCCAGAGCCTCTTTAGTGGTCCTAACGGCTCTTTCTGCCAACCCGTTACTGGCAGGATGAAAGGGGGCCGTGAAGATGTGGCGGATGCCCAGATTGGCAGCGAAGCGACTGAACTCAGCCGATGCGAACTGGGGGCCATTGTCGGAAACAATTGAGTCAGGTAGCCCGTGCGTTACGAATAGGCGAGTTAATACCTTGGTGACCGCTTGCGTGGTGGTTGTGGACAGTTGTGCCACGTCAATCCATTTAGAGTAAGAGTCCACGACCACCAGGAACATTTTGCCGTGTGTCGGGCCTGCTAGGTCGATGTGAATTCTGGACCAGGGTGCGCTGGCGCTTTCCCACTTGGTGGGGGTGGCAATTGGAGGGGATGGACGGGATTCCTGGCAGGGATGGCAGGAGCTTACCCATCTGCTGATGTCATCGTCGAGGCCGGGCCACCATACGTAGCTGCGTGCTAATGCCTTCATTCTGACGATGCCAGGGTGGCCCTCGTGCAACGCCTCCAAAACTCTGGTACGCAGCGAGGTCGGGATGACCACTCGTGTGCCCCACAGCAAACAGCCCTGCAAACTGGATAACTCCTGTAGGCGGGTCTTAAAAGGCGTGAATTTGGTTTCAACATCACTGCCCGGCCACCCCCTCCTCACCCAGTCCAGTACCTGGGCGATCGTCTTGTCTGCCTTGGATTTGGCTGCAATGTCAAGGGCAGTGATGGGGAGGTCCATTTGGGTGACCTCAAAGATAGCGTGGACCGGGGCCGGGTCCTCAGCTGGAGCAGGTAGGGGGCAGCGGCTGAGGGCGTCTGCGTGAGACAATGTTTTACCTGGACGGTGTATGAGTCTATACGAGTATGCTGCTAGGAAAAGAGTCCACCTCGTCATTCTAGGCGACAGGACTTGAGGGGTCTGTTTGTCACCTGCTAGTAGGCCCAGGAGAGGCTTATGATCCGTGACCAGCTCGAAAAAGTGGCCAAAAAGAAACTCATGGAATTTCTTCACAGCTGCGACAGCTGCTAAAGCTTCCTTATCGATTTGACTATAGTTGCACTCTGTTGCAGAGAGCGTCCTGGA